TGCATAAAGAGAAGCACAGGAGCAGAAATACTTACACAGAAGTAAACAAGGAACTCAAGTAAACAAAGGACTCCTCTTTGTTTATAAAAAAACAACACCTTCAAAACATGCGTGCCTGTGCTGAACAAAGACCCTGCTAGCCCAGCATCCTGCCTCTGACAGTGGCTAAAGCTCAATTGCAGAAGTAAGAAAACAGCAGGCAAATGCACAAACCATCAAGAGGTTGCTATGCTTTCACCAACACTGACAAAATGGATGACAGAAGGTTATACCGGCCTGCGGGTATTAGCCTGAGGAAACAATGTTTTACTGCTATTCTAATTATGTTGACAACTTTTTCTCTAACAAATTAACTGATTTTTAATTAAGATCTCTGAAACTTGGTATTGGAAGCTTGTACATCAGAGAAGGATATTTCCCAAAAGCTGCCTCTTGTTCCTGAGAAAACACAGAGCTAGGAATAAGAGGTGCTCTAGTTCCTGCATTAAGTAAGGGAGCTGCAGGCCCAAAGAAGTGAAATAGCACAAAGAGGAAAATGGTTACAGAAGGAGAAAACACTTAAATTATTAAATCTATATAATGCCAAATCCACTAGGAGCTAAAAATAATGTTGTTTGATATTCAAGGTCTATAGTGATTCATTACATTTTCATTACATATAATAAGAATTGATAGCATAGGTGAACAGGAAATGGAATGTAAAAAGTTTAATGATTGCAAAAAAATATTTTAAAGTTATGAACGCACTGTGAGAAAAGAAGCAGTAACATGAATATATAGGCAGCTCATCAATACATACAGACTTAATCAACCACAGTGCACAGATGAGCCTCTGGACCTGTATGGATCACTCTGGAATTACTATACCGTATAAATTAACATCAGTAAGCCAAAACAAAAGTTGACTGAACATTCTGTTGGTATTTCACATATATCTAGAACACACTCATTGATTAAATTCCAAACCAGAAATACGGCTTTCATTGATTAAATTCCAAACCAGCAAAATGGCTTTACCTTACTAATGGCTAAAGCATTCCCTAAATATGGTGGAAGAAATTCTATCCCAATTAATGTTTCTGAAGTTTCCACAGAGTTCTGCATGCACTGTTTTTTTTACGCAGTAATGACAGGCAATTCTTCACTGCTGCTGAACTGCTGGAGTTACATAGTGTTGTTCAATAAACCAGTACAGAGAATTTACTCAAGCTGATTTAAGTCAGGAGGAGTCTGTTGCTTATCCTCTGGAGGAATATTGGAAAACACTGTCAACTGGATATTTCAGAGCTTTCTTATCTGCAGAATTTGTCATTTATAAGATGTCATCATCTTTAGTATGTTATTCTCGAAACTTACTTAGAGGTAATGAGCAGGAAATTTGGCATTACTTTCAACATAATTCTCCATAATTATTTCTAAATCATCGTACAAAAATATTTTTCCACTCCATGATTTATGCAGCTTGTGCTCTTGTACACTCTGATGACTCAAAATTTCAACAGGCCCTCATGAAATTATTTTCAACTTTCTATGTGCAGCTGGGGCTGGTGGGCCATATATTCCAGGACTATCTACAGCATCATATTAAGAACTATTAAGTCAAACCATGTGTGAAATCAGCATATATAAATTAAGTTTTTTAATGTCTATGCCAAGTACTATGATTCAGGACTGAAGCAGAATTTGCTTGCAATACTGAAGATGAGCTGTGATTCCTCTTTCATGTCTTACTCCAATGACAAGTACTTCTTGAACTTTAATCAAAAGTAACTTTTCCTTATTTTCACTCTTTTAGCCTCTCATTAAGTGGCAGTTTCTGTTTCTCATTGACCCATAATTTGAAGCAAATAGAGTCGTACTTCTTTTTACTGCTTGTATAGTACCTCATATAGCACCATTCTGCTGTTTATTAAGATTTTCTGGGTATTCTGGAACTTGCTTTGCTTGACCGTTCCTGGCTGATGAAGTCCAAACATGTCCTAAGTAGTAGAATGGATGTTTTCAACTTTCAGTGCTCTTCAGAGTGGGAGGTCCTTGTGAAAAGACAAGACTACCTCAGGAGACCAGGAGATTGTCCAAAGAACATCTCAAGTGCAATGAGTTCTAATTAAGCACTTGAGAGCAGGATGCTTTCTGAGCACAAAAATAGTGAGGGAAAAAATAAATTAAGAGGATAAGCCTTGCTCTGGTATGTCAATTTTCTGCATATAGGATAAAGTACTTAGATGTAAATGGAGTTATGTGAAGGAAGGAATAAAATGGAATAGTATGTCTCACAAAGTGTGCCATATAAACAACATGCAGACAGCAGAAACTACATAACTGAAGGAGAATTTGGGGAAAAGTCTTCCTCAAAAAATCCCTCCAGAGATGGACTGTACTGCACCTTAATAACAAGCAGTGTGGCACAGTCAAGAGAGAGGTGATAGAGCTGTAATTCAGTGGTAGCTGTGTGTAATGAATAAGATCCAAGAGTGATAAACTCTGATCCTGCTGCAGTGTGGGGAACTACAGGATTGCACAGTAATAATAATGATATCATTATTTGGTAGGTCATTTAGCTGATTTATTAGATTATTAATAGTGGGTAGATTCAACAGTAAACACTGAAGCCTCTCCTCTCAGGCCTGCAGTTGAGAAATTCAGACTTCCAGGTAACAGCTATCCTCTCACCCTTATATCCTCTGAAAGACGTTTCCCATTTAGACATATTAGCCTACCAAGTCTTTAAAGGCTGCAAACATTTGGAGTGAGTTTTACCACTGGTTTCACAAACTTGCCTTAAGAAAAATTGGCAACATTTTGTTTAGCTTAAGTCGGTCAAAACCACTAATTAAATCCTCATTATTTGAGGAATATTTTGCTTTATGTGAATTAAAGTTTTCATTGAAGTGATCTGAATTATCTACTTTCAAGAGAAAAACCAAGATGAAAAGTTAAAAACCAAAGGTTAACTAAATCAGTTTCTACCCACATGCTCATGCAAGCCGATAAAGTTTTTTTTCATATATATGTGGTAGTAGCACTCACCTTCTCCCTGGCTGACACATGGGGACAACCAACCTTTCAGGACCCAAGGTGGGATTGGGAAGAGGCAGAACCCCTTGGTCCACAGACAGGGTCCCCAGCCAACATGGCAGAGACACTTCTGCACCATGACCTCCATCCAAGGAGACTTCCCTGGTCTGAGTGGCCTTCACCACTCTCTCCCACAGCAGTGACTATTTTTGGACTGGATATCCCTGAGTGATCCTTTGACCCTTAGATCTTCTGGGTACCCTTGACTGAGAGGCCTCTTTGTGTCTGTATTTCTGTGTGTGCACATGTACAATTTTGTGTAGTAACATAATGCCAACACCAAACCTGTAACCTGCTAAATGCCTGGAAGCATCACCATTACCCGCCTTGTTCATTACTTTTGGCCATTGATTTTACTTGGAAATTAAAGTTTGTTATCTGCATGAAGTTGTTGCCATGTACCTCTGTGCCAGCATGCTGCCTGTTGTCCGAGTCCTTTGCTCTCATGGACCACTGTAATAATATCAGAGGGGTTTGTGTTGGACAAAGCACAACTGCCACTCTCCTCCTTTAAGAGTCTTTTCTGCATTAATCTCATACAGCATGTGCAGGAACTCTGAGAGGATCATGGCCACACAATCCTGAAGCCACATTCCCAATACGTTACCACTACAGAGAGGGGGTTAGGGGTTTTTTATGTTTTTTGTTTCATTTGGTTTTGTTTTGTTGTTCTTTTTTTAAGATCTCTTCTAGTGCTCCATGGGATTTTTCCCATGGCTGCCCAACCTCAAGAGCTTTCCCTTAGGTGAAGACAAGTTGGCCTTTTTGAATTTTTTTTTTTTTTCGGTAATGGGAGAGGCTTGAGCTTTCTGGCTTTCTGCTCCTGTACTAGCCCAGTCCTTGATACAGCACTTGTCCTTGAACAGACCCTGCCCCTGCCTTTGTGTGGGCTCATGTGTGGGGAGCAGGAGTCACTGCTTGTGTCCCCCAGGGATCAGTGCTGGTCCCAGTCCTAGTCAGCATCTTTAATGATGACCTGGATGAGGGAATCAAATGCACCCTTAATAAATTTGCAGATGACAGCAAGTTGGGCAGGAGTGTTGAAAGGATCTGCAGAGGGACCTGGACAGACGGGATCAATGGGCCAAAACTGCCTGTATGAGGTTCAAAAAGGTAAAATGCCAGGTCCTGTACTTGGGTCACAACAACGCCCTGCAATGCTCCAGGCTGGGGGAAGAGGGGCTGAAAAGCTGCCCATGGGAATGGACCTGGGTTGCTGGTTGCCAGTGGCTGAACATGAACCAGTGTTTGCCCAGGTGGCCAAGAAAGCCAATGGCATCCTGGCCTGTGTCAGCAATAGTGTGGCCAGCAGGAGCAGGGCAGGGATTGTCCCCCGGGACTCGGCAATGGTGAGGCCACATCTCAAGTACTGCATCCAGTTCTGGGCCCCTCAGTACAAGAAAGACATTGAGGGGCTGGAGTGTGTCCAGAGAAAGACAGCAGAGCTGGAGAAGGGTCTGGAGTACAAGTCCTGTGAGGAGAGGCTGAGGGAGCTGGAGGCGTTTATCCTGGAGAAAAGGAGCTCACGGGGACCTTATCGCTCTGGACAGCTCCCTGAAAGGAGCCAGGCAAAGGTCGGCCTCTTCTACCGGGTAACAAGTGATAGGACAAGAAGACATAGTCTTAAGCTGCTCCAGAGGAGGTTTATGTTGGACATAAGGAGGAATTTCTTCACAGAAGGGGTGATTAGGCCCTGGAACAGGCTGCCCAGGGAGGTGGTGGAGTCACCGTCCCTGGAGGTGTTTAAGGAAAGACCGGGCGCGGCACGCAGTGCCATGTTCCGGCTCACACGGTGGTGTTCCGTCACAGGTTGGACTGGCTGATCTCAGCGCTCCTTTCCAACCGCACTGATTCTGCTTTTCGGGGACTGTGCGCTCGCCCCACAGTTCCTCCCGGCCGCGGCCCGTCCCGCAGGCCGAGGGGCGGTGCCGGGCCGGGTGTCCATGGAAACGGAGCGCACGCGGAGCGCCGCCCTCCTTCCCTGCTTCCCGCCGGCCGCCGCCGCAATCGCCACCATGATGCTGCTGGGCCGCGGGCTGGACGCCAGGTACGGGGCCGCGGAGGGCCGGGGAGCCCCGGGCTGCTGCGGGGGAGGAGGCCCCGCTGCCCGCAGCGTGCCCGGGGGGAGCGCGGGGGTCGGGGAGCGATGCGGGCCCGGTCCTTGTCAGCGCATCTGCCTCCCTGGGAGATGGGGCCGCCTCTGCCTTCCTCCGGTAAAGGCCGCAAAACTTTTCCAGGCCTAGTGTGCTATGCAGAGATGGAGTAAAAATGTGCTGCCGATGTTTATTTGGACCTCTCGCGAATAATTTTGTGGAGAGTTCTAAGCGGTCGCGATAATTAGGGGGGAATAAAAACTTTTGCACCCCCACATACGAACACGTAGTGTTTTGCTTCCCAACATGAAATACTAGATGCATGAATGTAGTGTAAGATCGGAATTGTAAAGTGGGTGGTTACGTCTTCCTCCTGGAGGGAAACACTTTCTGATATGAAGATCTTCCAAGAAAATAGGAAATACATACCTTTTACTGAAGGTCTTGTCAGGTAATATAATTTTGAAAAAGAGCTTTATTATTACTTAATGAAATTCTTACTTGCCTACTCACCCACCAGGTGAAACCGTCCCTATTCAAGTGGTTCTGTGCTCCAGCATGTCCTGGAGGACTGAATAACTTCCTTGGGTTTTTTTAACCTTAACGGAATCTGTTTTGCACAGTCTTCCAGAAAGCTTGCCGTGAAGCAACCCAACTGGGTTTTTGCCTAAGGCAGAACTTTGGCGTGAAATGCTTTTCCTGAAGTAAAGGTGTTTCTCATTTGAATTGATTGTATTGTTGTTTAGTCTCAAAGTACCACATTTCTTCCAGTTTTTCTGATCATCATATATCCTGATACAAAGTTAGCATTTAAATATTGGTCAGCAGTATTGGGATATCTTACGGATATGAAGGAAGTTTTTGTTTCTGTCCCTTGCCAAGATAATGGTAGGAGTGAATTTTCTTGCAGAGAATTCTGTCACTTGGCATCAGTAACTTTGTGTTGGATTGTAGAGACTTCTGAGGACCCAGTATCTGGCAGGCACTGTTAGCTGAATTGTCTTACAGCTGATTCACTCAGATCAACAATGGGCATGAGTTCACATGACCATCAAATAATATAGCAATATGAAGGCAAAATACAAAGTGAAATCTGTGAGTTACTGGAATGACTTATCTAATTCATTAATAATGAAACATACAGGCATTGGATCAAATAATTTGATTTGATTTATGTAGTTTTAAAGAAAGCAATTTATTAGTGTGATGGATGTCTTTTCAGTGGTATTACAGTTTTCAACTCTTATATCCATTCACCTTTCTTCTTTAATTCTTGGTGGTATTTATCTTCTGTAGTGCAGTTTAGTAATTGCAATTTAAAGAACATTTAACACCTTTAGCAGTTTGTCCTCTACTGCCTGATTTCTCCAGACATTGCCTTGCCTGCTTAGATTGCAGGCTGTAGGAGGAAGGTGGTCTTGCAGAAGTCTTGTTTGAGACTGTAGGTGTTACCACTGTGTTAGTAACTAATGCCATTAGTAATAGTGAGCTTTTGCTTAAGTGCAGGAGGAAAACTTCCTGTGATTTGGGTTTTCTATTGGATCTTTAAGTGTAAATCTGCTTTTTTGTTTGTTTGTTATTCATTCATAAATAAGCAGATATTACATCAGTTACAACATTCTCTTTTTCAGAATAAATTTTTGCTTTGCACTGAGATATCTAAATTATTAATAGTATAATTATATAGTTTTTCTTCTGTATGTGTTGTAAACATTTCTGCCTTTCTTATTTTTCACTTATTTTTCTTTGGTATCCAGGGATAATCAGACTAGACAAATGCAAGATGCTGTTTCAAATGTGGAAAAACATTTCGGTGAATTGTGCCAAATATTTGCTGGATATGTACGTAAAACTGCCAGACTACGAGACAAAGCAGATCTTCTAGTAAATGAAATATATGCATATGCAGCTACAGAGACACCAAACTTAAAAGTTGGACTGAAAAACTTTGCAGATGAATTCTCCAGACTTCAAGATTATCGCCAGGCAGAGGTACAAAATTAAAGCTGTACATGTTGTGTTTGCCATCTGAACTTTTCAGTTACTTATCTGTGATTAAAAGGGAAATCATATATTCTGCAATCAGAAGAGAAACAGGAGAAAACACGTCTATATATTAATGTCTGGGTAGGCTGCCAAAGCATTCATCATTTACACTCCTAATCACTTCAGGGAAAACTGCCTAAAATCAGGCATCAAGTCAGTTAACAGTTTCCCTGTATGCTGACAGAGTGGGCAAGAGAAAATTAGCTTGTAAGGATTATCAATTTCTGGTCTTTAGCTGCAATGCTAGATATATAAATAGTGAGGTGTGAGGTACCACAACACGTGGTAGGGTAAGTAAGTAACATGGCCAGGTTATTTGGTTCTTCTGTAATAAGTGTTGTTGAGAGCCTTACTGGCTTATTCCTTTCTATTCTATTGGCAGTTCAAGTGAAATTGTTTGACAGTGCAGTAGTAGATGGTATTCAGGAGAAATGTTTGCTCAGCTGGCATAGATTTTGGCTGACTGGTGACTGTCAGTATAGGGGGAACTGTCCCTTCCCAGTAGAGGTATTCACCTTGTCCTAATGTGGATGTAGCAGCGATGGGCCACAGGACTCACTCATGGTCCATAAGTCATTGGCAGATTATGCTGGAGCCACTCAGACAGTTTTGTCAGATTTGAGAAGCAGGTCTTATCCTATTGCCTGTCTGACCATATGTAGCTGTTTTTCTGACTAGGAGAACTGAAACAAAAATTCAGAACCACTCATCTGTGAGAGCATTTGTGCATTTTAGATACCCTGTTATTGGTATTTTTAGTGCACTCAGTGATGCTGTTTCCATTATTTTTAAGAAGAGTTCCATTTTGCACAGTGTATTTGATAGCAAAGATTGCTTAGTCTATAACCTTATCAGTGGGTGTAGAGCAAATACACTGATCTTTATATAGAAAGCTACAGAACTCCAAGATGCAATGCTGCATGTATTTAGTACTCACTTTGATGTATTCATAATTTTCCATGTTTCATTTATCCTGATCTAATTCAGAAAAAAGGAATTCCACTGGAAATCAGCTTGAGCTCTTCAGAAAGCAAATTCTTTCTTGGTTAGTGTACTTGACTGTGGTTTTTCCAAAATTTTTAAAAACGCTTATCCTAATTTTTTTTCACCATATATGGATTTAATTTGTAATAAGATGAGTCACTATTAAAGTAATTGTTTCCCATTTCTGCACACCATGGATATGGAAGGTTTTAGCAACCTTGTGATTTCTTTTTGTAGGTTGACAGGCTGGAAGCCAAGGTTGTCGAACCTCTGAAATGTTATGGGACCATAGTGAAACTTAAAAGGGTAGGTTAAACATGTGTTTTCTCACAAGGTACATTTCCGTGTCCTGGCCACTCAGTTGAAAACTTTTTGTTTATGGGGGAAATGGTTCTGATTTCATATTTCAGTAATCAGTTTAACTTAATTATATAGTTAGACATCTGAACTGAAGCTATATATATGTTGGAGGAAAGAGCTTTGATGTGAAGACTAGGATATTCAGGCTCTGAGCACAAACAAATGCTCAGAAAAGGCATTAGTATGACATTTCCTGGATAGTGTAAATAGTGTAAATTCAGGACTTTTTATTTATAAATAATGTCATTTATTATTGTGTGATTTTGATGATGATGGTGATGATATTATTATTACTGCTTTGGCTCTTAGTCATCAAGCCTTTAACAGCTTTTCTAACTCAGAATTATGTTCTACATTAAAGTTTATAACTTGGAAAACACATTTGAACCTCATAAGTAGGTAGTGCCTAAATCCCTCTCCATTAAATCATCATGATGACCTGAAGATACACAAAAATCTGAGGTCTCTTCATTCACTATTTTTCGAAACAATGTTTATAGGGGTTTGAAATATTCCCTTGAAATACCTGTAAGTTTCTTTCCTCCAGGAAAGATAAACTTGAGCAAGGAGGTTTTAATAAGCAGATACTAAAAGTAGATCCTATTAATACCTGTATCTTATACAAAGAATACTTTAATCCTGCAAACTCAAATCTGTAATTGATATGTGTGTACCATAATCTAGTAGTAGTAGTAGTAGTAGTAGTATCTGATGGTATTTTACAAAAATACCAAAACAAAAATCTTGCAGTGTGTTCATCATGATTAATTGGAAGAGACTGGCACTGCATCTCAAGCAAGCAGTTTTCCTATGGGTTTTTTTGTGGTTTTTTTTCCATATGGTGAAGAACCAAGTACTGTTTGAGACTTACTGCACAGTTACCTCACTTGGTGGTTAGAAAAACGATTGTGAAGGAAATGCATTCTACACTTGAGTAGGACTACCCCCGGTAGTCCTTAGCAGAGCTGTAGACTGTAGTGCCTAAAACCTGGTATCGTAATGGTCACCAGTTTGTGAGATCTAGAACTGGGTACTTTGTAGGGTGTAAATGCTGGGGATGGAAGACAAGTTTCATGTGTTTGTGGCAGTGGGGTTGCTGAGGAAACACAAAACATTTCAGCAATGCCTGGGGCTTCCAAAGCATTGAAGAGACTGTCTTGAGCTGCACTGCCACTGATAGCCAGTAATACTAAGGACAGAAGCAACTGAATCCAAGTCATTGCTTGCAACAGTGAATTGAATTTCCTGTGGTCTTTGCCTTTCAGAATGTCAGAAAGTGTTGCATAATGTTTATTTTAGCTACAGTGAGGAGTACAAGAGCATTTTTAAAACGTAGATGAGGTCAATTATTTTACCAGTTTACCTTTGAACTAAGATAGGGTTCACTAAAAATGTAGGGCATTAAATGGTTATTTTTTTCCCATTGCACATTGACCATAAACCTTGGTTAAAACTTCAACTACCTGGTCTTCAGTTATCATCTGTAATCACTGGGACATATTTAGTGACAAAGGAAATTTTGTCACTCATGTAAATCTAGCACAAGCTGCTAGCTCCAGGACTGCTTTAGCTGTAACTACATCAGCTGACTAAGTAAAATCAGGCAGAGTATGTCATTATAGCTTCTTTCTCTAAAGGGGATGTTCTCACTGCTGCTTACTTACTGGATCTGTCCCAGGAAGTACACAGCAGTATTTCTGTGCTTTATCTAAAAACAGCTTGCTTTTTCTGTGGTATAAGACATCAATGTCCTGTGCTACTAAATGCTTTAAAGAGGCCTAGGTCAATAAGAGTAGTGTTGTCCTTTATATGTTAATGCAGTAAAATTGTTTCATTCACTTGTTCTGGTTTACATTGCTGAATAGCTTCAGTGGAAGCTAAAACAATATTCTTGTCCTGTAACACACCTTAAATATAGGATATGAGGATTTCTTTCTGTTTCATTGTTCTGTATATCAATCTTCACTTTTCTGCTTTTTGGCAACTCTGTTCCTGGTTCCTTTCCTTCATGTAAAACAGGACATCATAAAACCAAAGTGATCCACGTGCAGAAGAAAGGATTGATTTGCTTTAATAACTTCAGTGACTAAAGCAGGTAACAGTACAGTGATGAGGCTCTGCCAGCTCATTGTCTGGTGGATGAACTATAGCTGTACTTTTGTATGCTTTGAAAATAGATGGGTGACGAGAGTTCTTACGTGTGACTTGAATTCATAGTTAAAACCTAGAGGAACTGTGAATAATTTGATATTCTTTGTACCTTTTATCTCATTGCCTAATCCATTCCACTTTTCCTAGAGTGTAACTAAAGCATATTTTTCAAAAACACGTCAAAGCTTGGTCTAAAGACACTGGAGGTGAATGTAGGACTGTTGGTGGTAGTTAGTGGTTAGTTGATGTTTGTGGTGTTTTGTTTTAAATGAAAGATTTCACCTAATCTTCGGTTCTTGTTACATGCTCCACTGAGATGAAAGAGCTCTGTAATGCTCTGGGTTTTTTTCTGGATGAAGGTATTTAGATGCTAGTAAAACAAATTTTTCTTTTTTTTTTTCCTGTTAGGTAATGTACACCTTGATTCGTTCACCATAAATTACATTTTCCCCAGCTTTTTAATATTTTTATTGGTTTTTTTCTGCACCCTTTTCTTGGACAAAATATGTATGTGCCCTACTTTTGTACATCCAAAACTTGTACAGAGCTTCACCACTACGGCCATGGTAGCACTAATTCTTTGTCACACTTCGGCTAGAAGAGAAGTATGTTTTGTTGTGTCTGTTGCTACAGAAAACAGAGGTAGAGAACAGGTCAGTTCCTGTAGGTATTTCCAAAGTCACTACATGCTAGACAGAAAATACTGAATTTAATAATGGTAACTCTAGAACTTTGCATCCTCAAGTACAGTTCGTGTGAAAGTCAGCACCCTTTCAAGCCACAGTGTTAAATCTGATTGGCTGTTTTAAATGGGCCTAGAAGGTCAGTGCTATTAATGCATCAGTCATTAAGTAGCACTAAACATGCAGCTGTGACCATTAGATGGAAAACTTTGTTGTTTCAAAACAACAAAAAATATGTTATTTTCTCTTTCTCTACCTTTAAAATTTAAAACTGGAAAAAACAATTTAAAATTTTCTTTTATTGCTTTTCTTATAGCCACATGGTTCTCATAAAAGCAAAAGGCCTTTTCAGTAGTCTTTGACCTTAGAGGTTGTGTAAATTCTGAAAGAACAGCAGTAAAACCAGCATTGATGGGCTGAAGATGAAGTAGTTTTTATTATCAGAAGCCAACTCTGTGTCCCTGGAGATGAAGCAAAATGACAGTTACATACAAGGACATACAGACAGTAAGGATAGAAACAAGGAAGAAACTGGATGTTTTGACCCTGTCCTCATGTGCAGCCTTGTTATTGAAGGAACACACAGCACTGTGAAACTTGGCAATCTTATGCTTGTCACTGAGTAGTAATCTGGTCACAGGACCACAAAACTTACTGAAAGACATATTCTTAGTTGCATGCCTTCTGTCACAGCGACATACAAGCCTTAAAATTGTGAAATCCAAGGAAGGAGCACAGACAATTTCCCAGTATAATAGTTTCTAATAGCTCTAACTGCTTTCTGGAGTAGTAAATAAAAGTGGAAGTGATATTTTAGAATAAAAGGTCATTTGAAATGCATGCCCAATCCTACCTCAGATTTTGTTAAACTTTAGACTATATTTCTACTTGTTCTAAACTACTGCTCCTTTAAACTGGAACCATCAAAATTAATGACCTTTTCCATACCAGCATCAGTGGAATGATAAATACTTGACTGATAATCCTACATTCCGTTAATGTCAAACAGTTTGCAAAACAGTTTTATAACATGAACAAAAATTTGAGAAAACTGGTAGATGAACATTCTTAAATTGTCACAGGTCTTCCTAGAAGTACATACTACTTCTCTTTTGGAAATGGAGCAGAAGCAGTTGTCAACAGTTTCTGCCCTTTCTAGATCAGTTAAGTTTTATCTTCAGCTCCATCATTACTTGGATGTATTTTGTTTGAAATGGTTTTAAACACTTTACTAAATGCATATATATATATAAATATGCACTTTAACCCTTTCAATTCCTATGGTACCTTGTGGCACAGAATTGTTTAGGTTGAAAAAGACTTCTGTGATCATTGAGTCCAACCATTAGCCCAGCACCACCATGTTCACCAGTAAACTGTCCCTGAGTGCCCTATCTACACCTTTTTTGAACACTTCCAGAGTGGTGATTCCATCATTTCCCTGGGCAGCCTATTCCAATGCCTGACCACCCTTCCTGTGGAAAAAAATTACTTAATGTTTCATTTAAACCTCCCCTGGTGCAGTTTATTATGTCCTCATCCTGTCACTGCTTGCGTGGGAGAAGAAACTGACCTGCATCTGGCTACAGCCTTCTTTCAGGGAGCTGTAGAGAGCGATAAGGTTTCCCCTGAGCCTTCTCCAGGCTACACACTCCCAGCTCCCTCAGCCTCTCCTCATCAGACTTCAACTCCAGCCCCTTCAGCAGCTCCACTGTCAGCAGTGACAGCAGTTGGCAGTGGACAGGTGACAACAGCTATATTTCCTTCATAACTTCTTGGTACTGACTGCTGCCTGCCTTTTTTTTTTTTTCTTTAATGATGCCACTTAATATTTGATTTTTATTTCTAAGTACCACATTTATTTTATTGCTAAGACAGGAATGAGTCTGCCTTCTTAGCGCTCTGGGGATCTCAGCTTGTGACCATCTGCTATACTTTTCATGTAAAGCTGTGAATATCTTTTTCTTTCCTTCCCCACATTTTCAATCATAACATGTGCTATAGGGAGTTGCACAAGGTGCTAAACTCTCTCAGTCCCCACTGACTTCTCTTTCATAGGATCAATTAACAGATCACTAAAATCTGTTTTTATTTGAAGCAGAAGTTTTGTCCATGTTTTCTAGGCAATGCATGTATGAAGGAGAGCATATTTTGTATTATCCTAGATGTATTTCAAACATGTCTAAAACATTTTATTTCCAGGATGATCTTAGAGCAACTTTAACAGCAAAGAACCGAGAAGCCAAGCAATTATCTCAACTGGAAAAGACACGTCAGCGGAATCCATCAGATCTACACGTTATCGTATCCTGCATTTCTAGTCACTAGGAAAAAGATTTTTAGAATTTTCTTGGGAATTAAATTGTTATGTTTAGGAAGTAGTAATAACAATAACGCTCCTTAGAGGAGCTGTTTCCAGTGCTGAATCTTTTCTTAAACTTCATTGCAGTTGCTACAGAGCAGTAGTTAATCACTTTTGAATTGAAAAGAAACTATGAGTTACTTGATATGTTTATGCAAGAGAGGTAGGCATAGATTACATCCAGGAATTTGGAAGTTTTTAAAAGTAAGTGTAATCAGACAATTTATTTTTTATTTCTGTGGATTTATTGTTTTTCTCCCTGCCATTTTTGTTATATTATGCTTCCTGGTACCTAGATGGGATATAAGTTTCCTCCAGCTGTATGAAAGGATAAGTTGCTATTTTGCTAGTAGAATACTCAACTAGACTGCTCTTCTTTTCCAAAGACCAGTCACCCTCCCCAGTGTAATATTCTGTATCACAGTGGGAAAATTAAGCCTCCATCAAACTGAATTAGAATTTCCATTAAAATCTCATTGACGTTTCAAATTTTGAAGCAATCAGAATCTAGGGAATGCCAGAATAAATGGGATCAAGGCAATTCTACTTCAGTCCCTTTATGGGTTATGTATTATGATACAGGATCTAGGTTCATGATGTGCTGTTTACTTTTTATTACATTTTAGTGTTGGACTTGGGAGTTAAGCAGTCCTATTCATTGTTGGATTTTACCAACTCTGTTTCAGAATCTTCAGGATCTTTGTAGTGATTGGGGCATGAGACTGTAGAAAGAGTGAAAATGACTGTGTTGGTCAAACTGAACACAGGAGAATTACATTTTATTTTTGTCTTTGCCAGAGAATTTCCATTTAATATTAATCAAATCAGTTAAGTCATGACTAATTAGAATTCCTTGTGTAATAAAGACAGATGTTTGTCAGCCACAGGGTTAGAACTTGAGCTGTGTTGCAAAGTTCTTTTGTTGGAATTAAGGGAGTAAATTATAACAATAAGCTGTTTTTTCCCAAAGGGAGACTGGTCCCATTTTTCTCCCTTGAGCTAATTCCCATTTCAATTCATGGGTATGTCACTGGCACCTAGTTCATTTCTTTTTGTTTCTTTTCTAAGCTTCTCCCAAATATTCTTCTGTGGCTTAGTTTCTTGTAACACCTGTTTTCTACACTTAAAGCTTTGCCTCAGAGTTATAAAATCTCAGTACAGTCTGATTCTGCACATGGCAAAAGCACCAAATGCTGCCTATTAGCATTTTAAAGTGATTGACACTTAAAAAGGTCAGATTGACACTTAAAACACTTAAAAAGGCATTAGGAGCAGGAATGTGTTCATTTGCTTTTCAGGATGTGTGTAGTTCAGCTTTCAGGTCTGAGAGAGGCTTTGCCACATTAGAGCAAAGCAGCTGGGCTCCTGCAGGGGTTCTCTTATTCTTGAGCAACTGTGATGTTGCAGCAGTGAACAACTTTGGCCACAGACAGTAAAGAATCTGTACTCACTCGCATCTTACAAATGATGTGTTAGCACAGCTTTGAAAGGAAAACATTACCAGATTTTTAGAAATACACTTCTGTAAATAAAAATAGATTTTTTTTTCCCCTAAAGAAGTCTGCTAAACTGTAGGCTGCCTGCTTTTTATTATTTTAAAAATAAATAACCAAGCCCTCAGTCCAAAACAGACAGCTGTACTGAAATGTTTTGGCCTGGATACTTGAATTCTAGCAAAGCTCTACCAAACTTTACATCTTACAGCCAGAGGCTTCAGACAACATAACAGCACTAAATACATAGATGTTTTGAAATAACTAAGGTAAATAGTTCACAGTATATTAAAAGTAGAATATTGATTGTTACATGTCCATGAATATTGATTGTTACATTGCCATTTTTTTCCTTTACTAATATTTCCAGTCACAGGTGAGTGTTCAAAAAATACCAAACTGCTGTTGTCCAAACTATGCAGGCTCTGCAACTTGAGACACTTCACTCTAAAACAACCAGAATTCCTCTCCCAAAGCATATGTGACAAATTATGTCCAATCTAAGATGTATTGAGGAGGTGTATTTGATTATCACAGAAATAACATACTGTATTTGTATGCATAAGGGCTGCATATGCATAATAGCTGCCATCACTTGCAGAGTGACTGATGGAAGTAATTGAAAATACACAAAATGTCTTTTCTTCCCTCCTGTGGTTTGGGCAAAATTAAGAGAGATGAACATGTGACCTTATGTACTACTAAAGATCATTATTAATTTTGTTTGCCCCATAATGGCAGGATTGTGTCTATGATGTTAGGCTGGTTTTGAAAGGAGATTGTTTCAAATTGCTAATCCTGTAAAATAAGTTTAGCAGATTACAATCAAAGAAGTGAACAGAGCATGCCTTATTCCTTAGGTTTCTATATAGGTAACACTAAAAGCTGTATCACAGGAACTGGACCTGTGGTGTCTTTTTCCATTAAAAAAAATCCTCTTAAGTTGCAGTTTTGTAGAAATGGGAAGAACCTTACAACTTGATCATAGGATACAGTACTTGATCCATGTACTATTTTCAAATCTAATGACAAAACAGATTTGTGATGATACTTACTGACTGAACCTGTAAGTATCACTAGTGTGTGATGTTTGACCAATAATGTGTGGAAAATAACAGAAGTTTAGACCCAAATCTTGTAGATTTCAAGTGCAAGCTCTTACAACTGTACATTGTTAAACTGTAATAGTATACAGTTCTCAGACTTGACTTAATCAGAATAGTTTCAGTATCTTTCCTTAAATGGTAGTGATCTTTCTATAAAGTTTATAATTATATCTAATTAAAATAGCTATCTAAAATGCTTTTTGTAGTAACAAATATGTGTATTTATGTGTTAGGAATTGGCTGATGTGTCCCCTTCCCAGTGCCCTGCTGAAAATGTTTTTAATAAGATATTTTAATAATGCAAAAGTATTAAAAACATAAAATACCTGAAATGCATTTGAATCTAAAAATTACAATAACTCTAGCCTGCAAGATTGAGATATTTACAGGATAAGTACATGAGTTCCAGCTGCTGCTATAATTGCTTATTTAAATAATTTGTAAAAATTTACTAAGATAAGGTTCAGCACACTGCACTGGAAAAGAAACTTCCTGGACCAGCAGGTTGATCTGCAGTAGAAAATAAGGCGTGACCTTTCCTGCTCACCCACCACTATGGCCTGTGCTGGGTTAAGTACCTAAACCCAGTCACTGGGTTGTCAGTGGGATGTCAGGACTGGCTCAGTAAAACTATCTCATGATTATTACAGAAAATGAATCAAGGCAGAGGCACTTTCCTGACTGGCTGCAGCTGGTCATTCTCATGTTTCACATCAAAGTCACAACAGTGTAGAAGGCATCTTTATATGTTCATTAAGCTACAGATTTAAAATATTGTAACACACATATGTATTGTTTTGCAAACTCAGACTTAAATAATGGCAATTACAGCAAATAACTTTGTATCAAATGCAAGACTAATTTCACCTTTGTGTTACTTTACCAGGCTGAAAATGAACTGCATAGAGCAACACTGGATGCCACTCGAACAACTCGGCACTTAGAGGAAACCATTGATAATTTTGAGAAACAGAAGATAAGGGACATCAAAGTATGTGTGCACACATTTCATCTTACATAATAAAATTAATACTAAAATTAGTCAGGAGCAAGATCAGCAACATTCTAGTATTCACTGAAATGCAAATCTCATGGTATTCATTAATATTTCACAGATTTGTAAATCACAGATATAGAATCTACAGATAACTTATCCTCAACCTGCTATAAAAGACAGTCTTCAAAATAACAAAACTTCTGACTGGCAATGTCTTAGGAATACATACTGGAGATTATCAAATGGCTTTTCAGGAAGACATGTTATTCCTAATAAATTTTCTCTTTACTTTTGAAGTATTTATTTAGAATTTATTATTAAATAATAAATGCATAAGTGATAGCCCAGCCAGAATTTATGCTTAATGTCTAAAATTAATTTAGATTCATCCAATCTGACTATTTAAAAGTACTAAGTATCATGCAGTTATTTATATCATATAAATACCAAATACAGAGGACAGTAATTTTTTGAAGTGAAAATATACTGCATTAAGAAAACCTTTCTTTTCATTTGCTTTCAGAATATATTTTCTGAATTTATAACTATTGAAATGTTGTTCCATGGGAAAGCTTTAGAGATATATACAGCTGCCTATCAGAATATCCAAAATATTGATGAAAATGAAGATTTGGAGGTAAGAGTGATTGAAATTTGCTTTTCTGTTTACTTCCTGTATAAAAACAGTTTTCACAATCAGGCTACACATGTCCCACACAGAAAAATGCAACAAATATTTCAGGTTCCCAGAAGAAACTCATGTATACCAAGCTTTTTTTTTTTTTTGCACTTCTTCAGCAAGAGCATGCAGGTTTGTAATCTCAGAGAACACAGAGAGCAACTGCAGTGGCAATCTAATCTTTCCCACAAAACACAGAAAGGAGACTCACAAAATTACCTGCCACTCCAAGCTCAGCTAAACATAAAACAGTTTTTAAAGAACACTTCTGCAGTGTCTTGCTCTGAAGATGCACTTAGAAAAAATCTTATACTGCTGTGATAAGATCATGTAAAGACTAACTACTACATTAAAGATCTCCCTCTAACCTGAATTTTGTTTGTTTGTTTTCATCTTTTAATCATTTTTATTGACTGTTACAGAATTAAGAGTCATTTGTTATTTACTACATTGGGGTTTTTGCCTTGTGGCAGTAACCAGCTTCAAGTCACCCTTTCTTTTCTTTCTGAATTATAGTCTCTCTTTCCCAAGATGGGCTTTTCAGACCTTTATTCATTCTTGCAGTTCTTCTGGATGTTGGGTCTTTAAACTTAATATCGTGGAAGTGTGTGTTGTGTATGTATGTTTGGTTTGTCAAAAAAGTTGGATCGTTTTCAGTCTTCTTTTGTAAATCCTACCAGTCATAATTTTATTCTGTCTATGACATGGCTCAGAACCAAGTTAGTGCAAGACTTAAAACCATGAGTCTTCAGTGAGTCATATTTGAGACTGCTTGGTAATTTTACTTCATTTAAACTATGCTATGGCAATTTTGTACTATTTTAGTTTCACAATTATAATGGCACATGGCACCAATTCAGAAATCTCCTTAAAGTCAGTACTTTGTCTTTCACAACCAAATTTTTAATCTCATTTTAAATTTTCTGTTAATTGGACAATTATTTACTTTTCTTAAAAATACTGAGCATAATATACCATCTTCTTGACTTAAAGTCTTGCACAAATAGCTGTATTGGTTATTGAAATAACTTGAAAATATAATGGATGTCATGGTCTCCCGTGTATTCTAAGAGGTTTCCCAAATTTTTCTTGAGTTGTACATCTTCTGTACAGTTCAAGTAACATTTTTCTGATGCAGTTGTATTTGACAGCAGGGATTTGCTTGTGAAGGGGTTGAGTTCATCTCTGCAAGAAATGGTGAGCCTGAAGGAGTTGCTGGGGTTCACACTTCTAGCTTAGCCTGAAACTCAGCTACATATCTTGGTGGGAAGCCATTGCAGCTTTCCCTGTGTAAATGCCCCCAAAGCTCTGAAGAATGTTTACCTTGACCACATAAGTATGTTGCCGTGCCTCAGGTTAAGCAAGGACATTATTTCAGCTAAAAGTGATCAGTCCAAACTACAGTCAATGCACATCTCTAGATCAAGTTTCATTCTCCAGTGCTGCGTTTCTGCAAGCTTCAGTCTTGGTGATTCTTAGCTTGCAAGCATCTAAGTCACAGCTTTCTCCATTTGATTAGGTTTTTCGGAGCTCACTTTATCCACCAGACTATCAGTCTCGCTTAGACATAGTTCGTGCAAATTCCAAGTCCCCCTTGCAAAGAACTGGCTCCTCAAAATCTTCACTGAGAACAGCACAGGTAAGAAAAAATTACATACTAAAGCACTATATTAAAACTCTACTTAGCTAATGCACATGGATTCACTGTCTTTAAGTTCAGGACCATCAGAAATGTAAAGAAACTTTCAATGGCATCAGTATCATAATAGGCTCTTGATAATGCAGCTTTATCATTGAAGGAAAAAAGCCCTCAGCTTTTAAAGCTGTGTTGCTTTTGACAAATGCCATTTCCAGCAAGACTTTGTCTTCCATCAACAAACTGGCATCTTGCACAGAAGAGATCTAGGAGCTTATTTGAAAGAGTAATGACATTCTTAGAATACTTCATATTCTTAGTATTTGGATTCTAGAGTGTGACCTCTCTACCAGATCCTAATCCAGACTAGTGATACCTTCTAGCAGCAGAGCAAACTCATGACCTACAGACTTCTCCATTTATACTCTGAAAATTCACAGCAGGTGAGGAAAAGGATGATAAAAATGAGTGAAACAGTTGAAGACACTGCCATTCTTTTTGGACCAGCTACCTTGCAAACATCTTTGCCACTTGTTTACAGCAGTAAACTTGCAGACATTGCAAAATGGCTAAATTATTTTTAATTCATTGCAACTGTAGTCCTGTAACTACAATGATTCTTACCAGTGTTTCAGTTAAAGACAAAGCCACATTTAAAATGCATGTATCTTACCTTTCTTCTTTGAATAGAATCATGCATTGATATTGTAGTAAGGAATACTTTTCTTGACTTTGTACACACTTTACACCTTCTCTGCTCTCAACACAGAACAGCATCAATTATTACAGTTGAGCTGTTCTGTTGAAAGTGTGAATTGTGTCATCTGATGAGATACAACCTAGTGATTCAGTGCATGAAGTACTGCCTTGACTGAGTAACTTTACAGTCCTCTCTATCACTCAAGCAAATTTCATATTCAAGATTCAGAAGCTTGAATTCACTTCAAGCTGTGAATTCACTTGTGAATTCACAAGCATATTCACTTCAGAAAATGTAAGAGAGAAAAAACACAAAACAAGAAAATTGAGAGTATGTACATTGTGATTTCTCCCAGAGGTGGAGTGGAACTCCATTTTGACTAACTTGCAGGTTAACCTTTCTCATTTCCTAGACTGCTCTTAATTATAACTTTGGGTGTTAAGTGTTCTCATAACCTCTAACTTACCTGAAAAGAACAGGAAATCATCTAGACCTAGAGGAAAACTGCAATGCAATTCAAAATAAGGTCATCTTACTTGGCTGTGCAGTGTGTCTGCAGAGGAGGATCATATGGCAGAAAAAAGGGGTGGAACACCCTACTAATGCAGTCACCATAGGGCAGTGAAGAAAGGGCAGCCCTTTCTGATTCTGTAAATAGCATGGTGCTGAGTTACACTAAGGCCTCTAATCTTTGGAACCACCAAACATCTCTTGAGAAAAAAAAAAAAATGCTGTATTCAGAAAAACCTTCAGGTGACTTGTTTTCTTTTCTGTGGATCTTTCACTCTGAAATTTTTGACACATTTCCTGCTGCACAGTAATCCTTTACTGTCTGTGATGTAGTACTTTGCTATTTCCAGTGTAAAGCAGTATAAATGATGTGGGAAGCAGTTCACAGAATCACACAATCCAAGTCTGTGGGGCAGGGGAGGACACACACACAAACACTAGCCTGTACATGGGGGACAGCGTGGGAAGTCACTGCATACCAGATGAAATAAAGTGTGCCAGTAACACAATTCAGGTCTTTTCAGAGGATTTAACACATACCATCCTTGAATTTATTTCTGCCTCTGTGGACTAACTTTCTGTATTATTTGTATGTTAAAAATCTAAAGTACTCCTTGAGCTTGATTAATTTTCTCACAAAGAACTATGTCCTTCGTTTTACAACACTTCACTTGGCAATTTATCCTCAACATTTTGGTTTACCAATTCAGGTTGGTATAGCTTATATTTTGGAACTATAGCAAAACAGAATGACCTTTTCCAGATATTTTAAATCAAATTCAACTACAAAGTTTTACCTACATCCATTAAATATAACAAACTTCTGTACTGACACTCTGTAGGACAGCAAAGTATCATTTTAACCATTATTGAAAATGACTGCATCCAATGCTCCAGCACTAAGACGTGGAGAGAATTGCCATGTATCTGAAGTAGCATCTGCAGTGAAAGATGGAGCTGAACTTAAACAAGGACTGTCATCACCTGCATGCAACTCATTAATTTTTATGTTAAATGATTTATGGTCAAAAAATTATCATGTTTTTCTTTTTTTGCATTAAGTTATGACAAATTAAATTTTTATACTGGTATGTTTTAGTTCTGTGGCACAATAACTTGGGTTTAAATTGCATAATTTATTTTCTCACCTTCCTTCCTTGATCCAGTTAGGTTCTTAGGGATAGCCATCTTACCACCACCAGTGATAATATTTAATACACTATTTAGTTAATTGCTGCATGGTCAGAGACATTTGAATAGTGAGCAGAAAAAAAGCCATAAAGCCAAAACAATTCTTATTTCAGGAAAGGGAGAGGGGAGCTTTTCTTCAGAAATATGATGCAAGTTCTGCTGAAGAATTTCAGATACTCTGAACTAGGAAAAAAACTTAGAAAATTAGTCTGTCCCAGTGAAATTCATTTCTCCTCAACAGGCTCAATCTGCAGCATTCCTTAAACTCCAATTATAAATCACTGCCATTGTCTTTTTTTTTCTTTCACTGAATGAGAGTCTGCTGTTTTAGACATTTCAACTGAAGTTAACCCAGCTTCACCCAATGATTAACTCCATTTCCTGTTGTGTTCAGAAATTTGTAAGCAACTGTTTGCTTTGAGCTAAATTGTGTACTTGGTGACCGTGAACAAGACTTAAGGATTTTTCTTCTTTCAGAAGTTCAATGACTACAGTTTGCTTTATGCACACACATAATCTTACATTTCATACATGGCTGTATGAATCATAACATGTCAGAAGTCCATTTAATAATGAGCATTTAAGGACCTTTAAAATAGAAGGCTGCTTAAAAGAAAAGGCAAGCTCTGTCTTCAGTACAGAAGTTTTTATTATATCACTGTATTTGAGAAGACACAGAAAATATAACAAAAATTAGAGCTGCAGATGCCCTTAGAGAACTACTGAACTTGAAATTTTTCAAAAGCATTCCAGATTACTTGGATAAGTGTCTTCAATGTTCTCTTTCTTACAGGGAAAGGAAAAAAAAACATGTATCCTTCTTTAAATTGTAAATGTTGCATTGTCTGTGAAGAATCTATCTTAAACAGGAATTAGATTGAGCCCTCATTAAAAAAAAAACTACGGGCTGCAGAATCTGTCAAATGAGATGAAAGCCTGGCAGCTGGCACTTGTTTTTAATGTTTGATGAACTAAAAAAGGAGTCACTCTAAAGGCAAGCTCTGATGGGCAGGGAAAGAACTTTGTCTATGATTCAAGACTCTTAAGTTTGTCTAATTAATTCTAGGGGGGAAAAAAAAGGTAAAAAGCTTAGAGCAGCATTGTTTTGAGCTTTCAGCTGACAAGGTCTGATGTCTTCAAGGTAAGATTAGGCCCTAATACTCCTCTTCAGCCTGCTGCTTCAGCAGCCAACCCAGGAAAAAACTGAATTGCATCTTGTTGATTTTTAGCATGAATTTGGTAAAAAATACCATTTTACCTATCCTATAATAATTCTGAGGGACTACATGCATTTTTTTTTTTTTGCTTTTAAAAATCATTAGAATATTTTTATTCTGTGTCATGTATCTTTCCATTTGTGTGCATGTTATGAAGAGTTAATAAATAAACAACTTACTCCTTACCCCCAAATGAAGACCCTGCATTTCGGCTGAAAATTTCAATGGAGAATTATTTTTTGTTTGCAGGAAACAAAACAATTGATACCCTTTGGTTGGATTTTTGTTTTATCAGATTTCCCGCAGAATGCTAAGAAAAGATGAAGAAGAGGATGAGGAGGAAGATGAAGATGATGAAGAGGATGATGAGGAGGATGAATTTGATGCTACTAAGGAAGTGAGATAACAAAGCTGTTCTAAGAGGGGATTTTTATTAAGGGGGAAAAACCCCCTTTACCTAAAGGCTTTTGTACGTTGGATCTAAAATTTCACTGGGGCGTATATTTAGAATTCTAGCAGGAGCAAGAATCAGCACTGATTTTAGAGTGCCAGACAATAAATAACCACTTTCAAAGAATGGTAAAAAATCCACTGAAAGTGGGCAATTTCAGTAGCTAGAAAATGAAATCTTTAAATAGATGCCTGTATTATATTTGCATAGATGTTATATTGTAATCACATTTGCTTAAACTTACATGATGAACAGTGTCCAAAAACTGCACTAAGCTTTCGAGCAGTTATGAACATTGTTTTCTCATTACATTGCCAATATATTACCTCTCTGGCTATACACCTCTTGAATTTTTTAAGTACTCTAGCTGTAACTATAAGTGGGTTTATACATCCTAAAGTAACTGTGGTAATTAAGAAACTGTTTGCAGCAACAACCTGTTAAGATTTCATTTTGCTATCCACTCTGGGTGGCAGAAGGCATGGTGAGGTGTACTTTTTTTTTTTTTTGTTTCATTTTTCTCAGGCTTTCACCAGGTTCAGATGACTTTTGATTCCTTTACACATAGAGAATGAACAGTCACAAATAAGGACCTGGCCCAGTATCTTATTTTCAATGCTGCTTTGCTTTTAAATAAAAGTGCCTTCATGATAAAACTAGTGGATATTTTATGTAGATGATGTTTATTATATTAGTTGACATGCTATACATGGCTCAAATTTCACATGTTTAGCTACATTATTCAGTTAGTGGTTCCATCAAACATACAAGAAATCACACATTTTGAGTGTAACTTCTTATCCTGTTTGGAGATAGAGGTTATATGTATTCATTTTTTAACAGTGCATGTTTGTCTGCCAGAAAGTTGCTACCACACTGTTCACCTCCAGCTTTAGTATCTGCTAAAGAACAAATGCAGAAGAATTTAAACTTGTGACTGGGAAAGCAACTTTAAGTTATAATAAAATCTTCCTTTCAGTTGCAGAAAAAAAACCAGGAAGTGCATTTATAATATTGATACTACATTTGTCCACTGATGCAAAGTATGCAATGCATACCTGTTTTAACATGTGAAAAAAACAGGTTTTGTCAGAAGTCAGTGAGATGAAAATAAATTACAAGTTCACAATATAGGGTTATTTTAAACCCAAAAAATAATTTTACACCAGCATTACATACCACTGACATTGAATTACTCCTGGCAAGGAGTAAATACCAATGAGCAAAACTTAAAATTATCTATGTAATTAATTCCCATCTATTTCAGCAACTAAGGCACTTCAATAAATAGTAATATCACATCAGAATTCTGGTGATCACCACTTTACTATTTCATACACAATGAAGCAGTCCATCTCCAAAACAGATGGCTAACTTCATAACAATTTCAGGTTTTCCTATAATATACACAGATACAAACAGCAAATATTTGTGTACTATGCCTTGAGAAAGCAATTTTGAAAAAAAGGCAGTTTTGTTTAGATTAATTGCCCTCTAAAAGATTATGCAGTTCACAAGCATAAAATTCATTCTCCCTGCATCACAGAAGAAGTCAACTCCAGGAATCACAGAAAAACTTCCAGAAAAGTACAGTGTTGAGCAACTTCGTCCTGCATGTGTGATGTCTTAACTTTGCATGACGCACAGAAATTGTGACCTCAAAACTACAGATGAAAGGTCCCTGACTAAAATACTTCACCAGAAGCCGAAGCCAGAATAACAATTTAGGATGTTAGTAAAGAATTAAATATCACATAAAGATGCTTTTTCAGATTTTAGGCAAAGAATTTTCTCATGGTACAAGTGCATACTGTAAGACTGACTTGCAGTTACTCCATTCACTCATTTGTATTTTTTATTACTGGCACCTAGATGATGCTAACTTGGATCCATTCTTGCCTAGACTGTTTTACCTCTCTGTTGAACACACTGGCACATTCCTTAGGGATTAAGGGTCTCAGACTGTCCTGTTAGACCTTCCCTAAATGCCTCAAGCTGCTTTCGTAGGTGATCACTATTTCTAGTTTTTGACAACAGAAACTGTTCTCTTTTACACCAGAAATTTTGGACAATGGTAGCAAAAGCAACTTCAGAGAAGACATAATGAAGGAAATTGCCCATGTTTTCTATAAGCATCACCAACTGTATCATTTCATTTGTTACTCCTTATGATATGGATGGTACTTAAAAAGGAAGCACAGGACTTCAAGCCATGTAATTATAGGCAGTCTCTGGTTTGTCCTTTGTACTGGAAATATAGTGCCTCCAAACACTAAACATCTGATGTTATAAAACCCAGTTATCAGGAAATGCTGTCCTCACACCACACACCTGTACCATCTATTGAGGCAGAATCAGAACATAATGCCCAGTCTGGAGAGGCAGGGGGAACAGAGGCTGACAGACACACAGACCCAAAACACCAACCAGATAACAGCTGTAAACTAAGCACCAGCTGTCCTGTGAACCTTTTTATTTAAGTGATGTACTGGCTTCCCTTCCCAGGTTTCCTACGCTTCGGTGCATCTGTACATACTTTGAGATGCAGACTGTGAAAAAGTAATTTTTTTTTGGTCTTTCAATCAGACCTAAGTAGTCAGATTAACCTAAAGTAGTCATAAACTCTAATCTTGCTTTAAATTAAATTAAATACCCATCAGCTGCAGGGCAAACAAAAGACTATGTTGTAATGCCTTAATTATGACCTCTGCCATAATAAGCTTTATAATACTTTTTTATATGTTCATGCAGTCGAGGGGGTGGGGGGGAGTTTACCATCTGAAAAACTAATGGTATCTTATCAGCAATTACTCTTAACCTGTTCTGAAAACAGATTTTTTTTTTAAAAAAGATATTCTGATACTTTACTGGTAAAGCAACCTACTAAACTCTCTTACCTTTCCAACCTCCAAGTTTGAAATCTACTGGGTAATAACAAGAAGCACTTTAAAATCAACAAGTCATCTAAAAGTGATTAACTGGAGAAGTTAATGGTATTCACATTTTCAACACAGCTTAGTAGCAAAGATGCTGGCTTACAGGAACAGTCACACTGAAGTTTTCAACATGATGGTCAGGAAAGTTTGAGAATTCTCATGTCTTTATTTTTCCTGCAACATCTTCTGGCTCCTTGATCTCTTTTAAAGTAGCTATTAAATAAAGCACAAAATTGTTGGGTTTTAATTCCTTCTAGTTCAGAGGAGGATTCAGCACTCTGTGATTCTGAAGCTAATTCCTACCAGAAAGCAAAAACCAGAATGCGTTCAGATTTGAAAACTTGGCCATTACGTTTCTTTGCTCAGAGGAATCTGTTACATATACAAACCTTGCATTATCATTCAAAAAGCTGTCTTTTTGGCAGTTAAAATACAGAATAATGTGCAGAAGAATAAAGCTACACTAACCTTTTAAATATTACAGAACAAAAAATTTCATTTGTTTTCTTGTACCAAACAGTTGGCATGGAAGTTCTCCAACCACAAGGATGACTTCACATAAAGTAATAAAGATTTGACCACCAGTGAGGGGGGACCATTCTGCAGAAAGGCTGCCTGGACAGCTCTGTCCTTAAAGCTATTATAGAGGCAATAGACAAGGCCCTGAGTAGCCCATTTGAGCCAAAACCTGCTTTGAGGAGGGAACTGGAATAGAGACTTCCCTTCTCCATGAATTTAGGAATTCTGGTTATTGAACAAGCAAAGGTTAGAAGTTTTCACTGCCAGGCTGCAACTTTCTTGTCTCAGTTTGAGGGGACTGAGACTTAATCCTTTAGTACTACAGATACTGTATTGCACAGTTGTAATGTCAATAAAAGTCCTTGCCCACACAGTAAGTTTCCTACTAAGCCTTAATTTTGAAGACACAGCTTTTCCAAGCTTTTATTTCTTCCTAAAATTTAAACATGCTGGTAATAAACCAATGAAAACAACAAGTTATAAATGCTGACATAAGCATTTATTTTATTACGTAAGAAAACAACAGTTGTCAGCTTGGTTGCCAGTGACAGATGTCAGTTAAAACTAATCACAGATTGACCTGGAATACATCCAGGCATCATCAGCCAGTTAGTATTCATATTACACAGCATGTGAAGATAAAACAAAACCACTGAAGTCAGAATTCTTGATCTAATTCCAACATTGATTTTCTGCCTCAAGGTACTAGGTGAGAAAAAAGCCTAACTGATGAAAACAGCCCCTGCAATCTCTGTCAACTACCCATCCTTTGCTGTGTTGACAAACTACCAGTTCACTCTTTCCAGATGAAGCAGCCAGCATCATTCTCACCAAGACCCAGATCTACAGAGCATAATAACTGAGATCATTAACTATACAAGTTTTAAAGATAAGACACACATTTAAATGGCATTTTCCTTTTTATTTTAAAAAAGTTGCAAAGCCAGCTAATGAGAACAGCAAGCTCTTAAAACAGGAATGCCTGCAAACATATGAAACCGAATAAAACCTGAAAAGTTTACACAAAAGGAAACCAAAAAAAAAATCAGTAATTTCAAAATTTTATTAAGCTAACCTCAGTAAGAAGTGTCATTTACTAATGCAGGTAGCACTGAAAATCTTCTATTTGAACCGTTTGTGTGGTCAGCTAGTCAACCGTTTGTGCTGGTCAGCCAGCACTTATGTTTTTATTTGATGCAAAGACATAAGACTGGAATTAATCTTAAAAAAAAACCCAAAGCATTACAACTCCATCCTTTTATACCTTATGTATGACAGTCAATGTCCTACAGGTATTTCAACCAAGAGCTAAACAACTGAACTGGGTATTATTTACAACCGTTGATGGAAACTTTGTTTTGCATCTTCCAGTAATTAAAAGTTAAAATAACTGTCAATACTGGCAAACCTAGAATGTGTTATTAGAGCATCTTTTCCTCCTTTACAGCAAACTTAACTTAACTTTCCGTGGACCAATGGGCCTATCATTCAGTTCGTTAATAGCAGCCATAGCTTCCTCATAGTTTGTCATAGCAACAATGGCATCACCAGAAGGTAATCCTTGTTCATTGTACTGCACAGAAACTGACTCCGGTATCACTCTATAGCCATAGAAAAAGTCCAGAATCTCATTAGGAGTAGCTTTAAAAGGTAAATTTTTCAACAGAATAGGAACAACACGTTCAGAACCACCACTGAAATTTGGATCTGGCATAAATCTTCCTTCAGGAAAATTTCCCATTTTATTATTCCCAAACTCCATTCTGCCAAAAGGTTCACTGTCACCACCAAAATCCATGAGGGGTGGTGGACCCCTAAAATCCTTAGGAGGGCACATGAAGTCCTCAGGGGGATGTCTAAATTCAGAATGATGCCTGAAGTTCCCAGGGGGACCAAAAGAATGCATGGGTGGCCCTTGCGGTGGCCCAGATGGTGAACCAACTGGACGGGAGAGGTCACCTCTGTCATACGGATGTGAATGACCATGCATTTCATTTGGTGCAGATAATGATGCAGCAACACCGAACTTCTGCATCTGATCTTGAGATATAAGTCTTATTAAGACTTCTGTTCCCAAAAATGTTTGACGGTTTAAATTTTCTGCTTTCATAGCTTGTTCTTCGGATTTAAACTTCACTAGTGCTTCTCCCAGTCCAACTCCTTTTTCATCATAGAGCAAGTAAATATCATCTTCATCAATATCAAATCTTGAAAAGAACTTCTGCACTTCAATTTTTGACACATCAAATGGAAAATTCCTTACATAAACACAATTCTTAGGGCTGGAATGACCTTCCCGGTAACTTTTTTCTGATATGGCCTGTCCAAAATGATCTCTGTCCGGTGATCTTTTCCTCTCACAAGAGTCAATTATTTTCAACATTGACTTTCTTGAAATTGGAAAAATGTACACAGGACGATTGAGAAGAACCTTTCTATGACATTCCAAAGCAGCCTGATATTCTCTCTCGCTCCTTAACACCACAAAGGCATCTCTAGTCCTTTTCTGATGCTTATCTGTTAGAATCTTAATCTGTTTGCTGTGTATATCCAGTTCAGGAAAAAAATCTCTCAAATCTCTCTTTTCCACATTAAAAGATAGATTTCTTAAGTGTATGTAATATTCCTGGCCAGGAGATGAACGAGAATGTGTTCTTTGTCTCCTTGGTGACCTTGAACGAGAATGCTTCCTTGAATGCATGTAGCCTGAACTTCTTGGAGAATGGTCTTCACACAAAAAGTGATCCATTTCATCTGGCACGTCTATCCGCCCACCGCATTCAATCCACCGTTCCTCTGTAGTGGGACTGATTTCTATAAACCTCTGACCCATGTACTGTCTATGACGTTTAAGTCCTTCTAAGGCATCACCAGGTGTAGCACATTTTACCAAGCAATCACCATTGTTTAAACCATTGCGGTGCTTTATCAGAATCACTCCATCCACACGTATCCCCGAAAGGAAAGCACGTACTTCAACTTCTGTTGCAGAGTAAGGTATACCACGTAGAAATAAGTAACGATCATCCGGGTTAAACAGGTGGGAATCCTTTCTTAACTGATAGTTTGACTTAGGTATACCCATATCACCGTATCTTGTGCCATTGGTGTGGAAACCAGCCTCCAGGCGATTTGGTGGTCCGTAACTAGGTTTTCTTATTCCTTTTGGAGAAGCTGTAACTAAATGTGGTATATCTCCAACACCTGATGTACTAGAACCATTAGTACCTGTTCTTCTAGAGCCAGACATAGTTTCTCGTCCCCCGCGGTCAAATCGTTTCCGGCTCATTTCTATGGTACTCTGCATCTCTGCCTTGCTGCTGAGAAAGAGCTCTATGCGCGAGTCCTTGATAAACCCTCCCGAACAGCTCATGGCACGCCGTGCATCTTCATCTGTTGCAAATATAATAAAAGCCTCCCCAATCTCTCCTCCAATAATATGCACACCTCCATCGGGAATATTCAATCCCAAGAAGAAACGACGAATATCTGGAGGACCCGCAACAACAGGAAGCCCCTGTAAACGGATGACTACAGCCATGCTGAGCTCAACCCACAGCAAAAATCACCTGCAGACAAAAAGGTACACATGATAGCACGTCTTTAGTACTCAGCTATTACAGTATCTTATCACTTAAGAAGCTAGAGCCTTTTTAATGAATGCCCTTGTCTCATCAAGAGAGAAGGTATCAAAAAACCCACAAGTTCACGAGAACAAGATTAAAACAATTCACTGAATGTTGATTAGTCAGAACAATTAGCTACTCCACCGGCACTCGTGCACAAATCTATCAATATTCCCTACCCTAAGGGCAACAAAATCCACCTAAGTCACTCCTCACCATCCACAATACCTAAAGAGCACCTCAAGTCTTTCACGGCATAGTTACTATGTAACTCTGCCCACTCCTAAGGAACAAAAAAAATCCAGTTTACTTTTGAACAGGACACTAATTGATAAAAGGAGAAAGGAAAAAGAATAACTATGTCACTGGAAAATGAAGTAACTCACAAACAGTGATGACTTTACTGCTTTGACAAGTTGCTCTACCCAGTGATCAGTTCTCTTCAATAATGTGTGTTTTCTCAGCATTCAAAAATGTTGTCTCTTTGGTGTAGTCAGAGTATTAACTGCAGTGGCCACAAGCATATCCTAGTTGCCAGCCACAAGTCTGTGAGGAAAAAAGGCTGTGTATGATCTTGTCACAATACTCAGTGAGAAGTGTTAAGCTTTTGACAGCTTACCTGTTTCTGCTTTGGAGACCTGATAAATTCTGTAAAATCAACTTAACTGTGGAAAGAAAACGAAACATAATTAATGGCTGATACCTGTACTTTGCTTTACACACTGTGCTACACTGCTGCAGCCTGTCCATAGCAGTGGCTAATACTAAAGCCAAGCATGTTATGAACCCATGTGAAGAACTCCTTCCGTGTTCCAAGATGCCATGCACCGCATCTTTCTCTTTCCATTTTAGAAGCAAAAGAAATTCAAAATTTAAGTTGACTTCTGGAAATGATGAAAATACGATGAGATTACTTGGTCATCGATTGTGCCACACGGAACTGATGCAATGAAACAGACTGACAGTGCATCGAGGGAACAGTTCTCAGCTGAGTTCTTGAAAGGTGCTTAGGTCCATCTGAGGATTACACGATGTCCATTCTTCTGAAATCCACCTGGTTTCAAACTTTCCAAGAGTATGCTACTCACCAGTCCAGCACTGCACTTAACATACACAGTGAAGCCCATCATGAAAGAGCAAAAATATCCAACAGAGAGAAACCTCAGAAAGTACCTGAATTTACAAAGCCAACTTCAGCATTTTCCCTAAATCCTTACTCTACTGCCTTTCAAACATAAGAACAAGAAAACCTTGAATACACTGACTTATCATACCCTGATTTTCAACATTTTCTAACATCACACAATAAATAGAACAATATTCTCAGAACAAACACAAGCCTCTGTAGCAAATGACAGCATTCCTTTAAAACACAACAGCCCAATGCTCCGAGCATCTGCAAACACTCCTTCAACAACCTTTGCTCTGTAAAGCACTAGATCCTGATGATGAGTTACCTACCAATAACCATTACTGTCACTCCACCTGAACAAGAGCAAAGCCCAAATTCTGTCACCAATGGACTCCATGTCACTTCTGCACCAGTACTCCATAAGCACAACAGAAAACAACTGCCCATTTAGAAACTTCCCTAAAGACCATCTGTTCTCTGTACTTTTGTGGTGAGTCGACCCCAGCCAGCAGCCAGGCACCCACGCAGCTGATTGTTCACTCCTCGTCCCCATCGGTGGGATGGGAAAGAACAAAGTCGAGAAAACTTGTGGGTCAAGATAAAGACAGTTTCATCAGTGGAAAGAAAAACACAAAACAAAGGAAATCACTCACCACGTCCCACAGGCTGACTGATGTCCAGCCTTCCTCCAAATAACAACTGCCTTGGGAGCCAAGAAAAAATCCTCCCAAAGAAACCAAAACCATTAAAATACTTCTTCCTCTACCTCAGTTTTTGTTGCCCAGCATGATGTTACATGTCAGAGAATATCCCTTTGGTGAGTTTGGGTCAGCTGTCCCAGGCATGTTCCCTCCCAGCTTCTCACCTACTCTGAGCACACTCACTGTAGGAACAGAGTAGGGGAAATTGATAAAGCCTTGATACTGCGCGAGTGCTGTTCGGCCACAGCCAAAACACCGATGTGTTGTCAGCATTCTTTTAGCCACAAATCCAAACTGAGCCGCATGGGCTGCTGTGAAGAACGTTAACTCCATCCCAGCCAGACCCAGAACACTTTACAACGTGTCTTCTCAACAGATGCAACGACAGTGCCAAAAAGCATGGAGAATTCAAGGGCAGAATTTTCATACAGCACCTTCACGTCTTGAAAAAGCAAATCCGCTGCCCTGCTACTTCACGATGTATTTAATCTGTAGTACTTCTGGATTCACAACTCCGCTTTCTTATCCCAATTTTTAAACATCATTCACAACAGCTCTCCTCCATAATTCTTTGGTGATAAACAGCAAGTTCTCCAGGATGCACCAGGGATACAATACACAACCTTCAGTGGTGAAAACCAGACCAGTGGTTCCAGAACATAACAGGATCTCTAAGAAGTCCATAAACAAATGCAAGTTCAAATAACAGCTCTTACTGTATAGTAAACCATCACACATGGGTAGAAAGCACAGACAAGCCATCCAAATTGAAAGTGCATAACCAAAAAGAGTTGACTTGTCATGAAAAGTAAGAGCAATTCATTAACTGAACAAGGACTTCAGAGAGCAAGGATTTGGAGAATAAACAACTTCATGCCACAGCTTAAAAGCACAGAAGTGTACAATTTTATGTTTATATATGAGCAAAATTGGCTAGAAAACAGTACAATACCTATTCTTCCAGTCTCAGGAAATTCCAAACATTAAAGCCATTAAAATAATCCACAACTTGTAAACGCGGTAGGAAACTAAGTCTGCACTAGACTAGGATTTTTGTCATAACACTGAAAGATTACACAGACTGCAAGCTAGAAAGAACACCCACAGAAACACCCCGTCTACGAAAATGAACCAGTATAGAATAAAAATCAGCCTTAACAGAGGAAGCAGGCTGCTGCGAACAGCACTTTGCACAGTGCTGAAGGAAAACATGAGTGAGCTCTGGAGCTGGACCCGCTACACGGTCGAATGTAGCACGGCACCGCTTCCGAGCACGTCGCCCCGCCGGCCCCAGCGCTGCTGGAGAGCCCCGCCGCGGGCGGCAGGGCAGGGGACGGGGCGAGGGGAGGCTGCCCCGCGCCATGCGCCGCGGCCCGCCAGAGCCGCCGCTGCTGCGCCCCCACGAAGAAGCCCGTCTGCTTCCCGACACCGGGACAGGGCTGAGGGAAGCACCGGGAGCGGGGAAGCGGGGTGGGAAGCCCAGGGACGCGAGAAGGCCGGGGCACACGGAGCGGCCGCGCAGCGGTTCCGCGAGGGTCGGGTAACCGAGAACCGGCAGACTCCGCGCCGCCCTCGGCCACGCGCCGCACCCCGGAGAGGCGAGCCGGGTCCCTCACGCCATCCATCCACGCACCCACCGGACACGCCGCTCGGACGAGCGCCGCAGCTCCCGGCACGGCTCCGCCAAGATGGCGCCGCCTCCACTGCCCCCCCCAACGCTGAGGGGAAGCTGCGCTGCGCGAGCGCGGACCTGCGCGCGCACCCTCCCGGCGGGTCGACTCCGCCCCCCACCCTCCGCTGCAGCGAGCGTGCGCAGACCGCGAGCCCCATCGGCGCGCGCGTGAAAGCCTCGCTGCAGGCAGTGCGCATGCGCTTTCTGCCCTGGAGGCGCGTGTGCGGTCTCCGTCAGAGTAGACCTGAGGGAGCTGTGCCGTGACAGATCGGTGTGACTGTGGCTCTGTACTGATGGATCTGTGCAGTGACAGGTCGCTGTGACTGGCTGTGTACTGATGGGCCTGTCCCGTGGCACAGCTGTGTACCGGGATCGCTCGCTCGGCGGCCGGGCGCCGCTGCCGCGCCGTGCGCCGTGCTCAGGCTCGCTGCCGTCGGTGCCAAGCCTCAGGCGCCGCTCCGCGCTGCGCGTCCCATAACCCTGGCACGGTTTGTAACGCGGCTCAGGCTGCCTCCAGCCTGCGGTGTGACGGGAAGGGAAGGCAGGGATGGAGCGATGGAGAAGAAGGAAGCGTTCAAGATGAAGTAAAGGGAAGGGCAGAGGGGAAGTACTTTGGTTGTGCAAGCGAGATATATTTATCCTAATGTTTATCCTACCTGCCTTGTGCAGTACTTCTCCATTTTAGGCAGGAAAAAAACCCCTGCACTATTACGGTAAATTCACCTAGCAATGTTGCCGACTTTAGGAGCTCTCTCAACACAGATAGAGTCTTGTTTAGAAAAAAGGCACTGTTTATTCTGTGCGGGGTGCAAGGTGGAGGTTTCCACAAACCAAGCACACCGGTAAAAAGTTGCATCTTTACACGGTCGAATTTACATGAACGTGAGCCTGGAGACAGGTAATTCGACTTGAAAACATAAAGGAAACCTTTTAACAGTTGTTGAGCCAACCAAATAAATCCAATAAGAAATAAAACATGCTAATGTCGAAAATCATAATAGTTAGGCAATTAGCATGCAGGAGAGGGACAATGAGAAATAACTAAAGTCCAGGACACAGTGTCTTGCAAAGTTTTGGTAACATCTGAGGGAGTGAGACAAAAGGCAGCAGGCAGAAACATGCACAGAAGGTTCCACCTGAGCATGAAGAACTTTCCTGTGCAGGTGCACTGGAGCAGGCTGCTCAGAGAGGCTGTGGAGTCTCCCTCACTGGAGATATTCAAGAACTCTGGTGGCAGTGCTGTGCCATGTGCTCTGGGATGGCGCTGCTTGAGCAGGGAGGTTGCACCAGGTGGCCCTCTGTGGTCCTTTCCAGCCGGACTCATTCCGTGCTTCTGTGGGATGTGAACAAGAGTTGTGACAAAGGTGTAAAAGGTACGGGGAGTAACACTGGCTGAGCATCCATTGCTCTAGGCATTTTGTGTTTTCACCTAGTTACCACTTCAATTACAAGCACGTGTTCCATTGGGATGATACACTGTGCACTAATTCTAGAGACGAGGCACCGGAGAGTGCAAACCAGGCCTCGCTGTCCCCTCGTTTCTCGCTCCTGGTCTCGCACAAGACGAACAAAACTCTCATTAGACCAAGCACATGAACTCGGGCTTCCGCGCCCTCCCTCGCCGCGCCCCGCGGACGCTTCGCGTGTTGCGGCGGCGGGCCCCCGGCGCTCGCCGTACGCGCTGCTCTGGCCAATCGGCGCGCGCGGGCGGGCGCGCGGTGGCCATGGCGACGCGGAGCCCCGGGGCCATGGCCGCCGCCGCGCTGCTCATGGCGGTGTCGGCGGCGCTGCCCGTCGCCCGCGGCTTCTCCCTCCCGCTCCAGCGCCCCGCCGACTGCGGCGCCGACCACTACTTCGACAGCTCCCGCCTGGCCTGCGCGCCCTGCGGGGCCCACCAGCGGCAGAGCGCCGGCGGTGAGCGATGGGGAGGCGGGGCTCGGGCGGCTCCGCGCTGAATCCGCCGCCAGCAGCGGGAGCTGCGCAGTCGGGGCTCGGGCTGTGGCGGTAAAACAGCCGCAGCCTGAAACAGGTCTGGGAAAGCCGCGAAAAGGCCAGGATCCCTGAGAGGCCCCAGCACAGCTGTGATGTATCTGAGATACAGCTCAGAGAAATGACGTTCAGCCTTTTTCTAATAACCTTTTTTACCTCAAGCATTATATTGTATTTGCATTGTTCATCTGTAAAATTCTACAGGACCCTGAATTTATGTTCTCGAACACTTCTGTAACTAGAAACTCCTAGTCAGACCTGAATGTGTGAGATACCAAGTGTCAGATCCTCAGGCTGTGCCTGTGCTAGTCCAGGTCCCACACAGGAACTTGCAGCAGATACAGCACAGCCTGACAGTGCTAAATGGAAAATACAGACCGTTGGCTGCTTTCTTTAGGGCATAAAGAGTTATTAAAGGATTCATCTTTCATAAAATACACAGTCCAACAAGAGTGGGAGTTCTCTGGTGTGTGTGATTTGAGACTAAGACCCAAGAACATCTCTCTCCAGAGCTGGTACTGCAGTGGGAAGCAGAGATGTGCAGGGCTCCGTCCACAGTTGCTGAGTGAAAGCTGCTCACCTTCACCACCACCGTGCTGCCCTAAAGACTAATCCCACAGTTCACTTACTGCAAAAAAATACACTATTTGTTTTCAGATCTCCTGATAATGTGGGTGTCTAGATCCACAGCTCCTTTTTAGGCTGAATCTTCCTCTAAATGAAGGGCTTCAAGGAGAGGAAAATTCCAAGGGGAGGTCAAGGGTTTATTTTTTCCTGCAGATCTGACTGGAGCAGTGTAGGTAGGTGCTGCTCAGTGCTGTTTGCATCTTGGCTGAATTCCACTTGTGATTGCCTATACATTCCACGGCTAGCTCATCAGCCTGGATTTTGCTTTCAGGTGGCGTGCCTAAAAATCCAGGTATTGTCACTGTGAGTGTCACAACTCAAACTTTTAATTGATCTAATCATGTGGGCTTTTTCTTCTTTAGAATTAAGTAGAAATGTTTGATCACTTTGACAAACGTTTCTGTACAGTTGGTCTCGTTAGAATGTACTTTAAAGTTATAAAACTTTCTACAGAATTTGACATTATTTTTGCCTGCATAGGTAAATAAGCTTAAACGATAAAAACAGTTTATCAGTAGATGTAATCAATTTCAGTTTGTGGTATGTGTTTAAAAGTAGAGAGAGAAATTCATGACACTGAGACAGGAAAAGTTTCTAAAAAAAATAGTTGTTGAGCACTAGCAGGTGGGCGTTATACTATGCCATAAAAATAGTGTTTAATTTCGTACGAAATGTTAAGTGTATTGTGTTCACTCACTGAAAACCATTCAATATAAACCTTGATCCCCATGCACAATTTTTAAAGCCTTGAGTTTAAAACAACTTTTCATACAACAGTTATATTTTGAAAAACCTTTTCATAGGAACACATTTTGGTTTTAGGACTGACTGACTTCAAATTGAAAAAATAAAAACTGTATACAAACATTTAATACTGGTGTTGTAGAGAGGAAAGGCTGTGGCAAGATTTAGATGGAGAGATTATATCTATTACAGACCAACAGGTAAAATTTGGTTTAATTGAAAACCCCACAAAATACAAGCTCTGTGTCTCTGTTCCACCCTGGTAGGTCAGCCTTGTAACATTGTCCTAAAACATCTGTGTGCAAACTGTAGCATGGGCATTCTTTAAAAAGATTATTTTCATTCACCTCTCACTCAAGTGTTTTATGTGTCTATCTAATAATCCATCTTGATCTCTTGAGAACAATAGTAATTGTTCTTAGTATTCTGTTACAATCAGTCAGTTCTATATGGATTAAAAATGCATTTGGTTTTTTTTCTTCAGGCAGTTCCTGTGAATGTGAGCCAGGATACAGGATGGTTTCTAGTAATGGTGGGTTCTCTGTTACTTGTGAAAAATGCCCAGAAAATATGGTAAGTACTTAATGTTTCATGTTTGCCACAATAATAGAATACTAATCATAACAATTATGGGTTTTCCAATTTTAAATTTTATCCTGACTGCAAGTTACTTTTCATTAATTTAAAATATTTTTGTGTAATAGTCTTTGATTGGTAATTTTAAGACCCTGCTTACATGCAGTATTTTTTTACAATTTAGAGTTGTCTATTTCTATTATTTTGCTTTTTTCTTTACAAATTTGACCCCACAGACAAAATAAGAATTTTTTAAGTGTTTAAGTTCCTTCCACTACTTATCTTCTCTGCTTTGACCTTGTCCAGAGAGCACAACTGTACAATGCTGAAGATGCTTTTCAGCTCAAAGATATCTTAATTTATATATTAATTATTTATGGAAATACTATTATTGTAATATTCAGGCTGTGTCTTCAAAATCCACAATATTTCATCTTCTTGCTTCAAAATGAGCTGCTCCTACTACGTTACTTTAATTATATTTATAGTTTGATCAGTTCTTCTGACCTTCCTTGACAAACTAAATTACAATTTTGTGTCACAATCTCACCAGGCTAAACCAGCAAAGCTGTAGCAAGCAAAAAAATGTATTTTTCCATCAAATCAACTCTTGAGAGTGAAGCCTTCCTGAATACTTCTTTCTCTTCAATAGCTATAGAAAAACTCTCAAGAGAGCAGCTTACTTGCCTGAGTTAAGTGTTCAGTGGCTAATGGGCTTAGTAGGTAATTTTCCTTTTCTTTCCATCTTCTTGCTCTGTTAGACAAAGACTTTGGCACATACCCTTTCATGTTGTGATCTTTTGCTGGTTTTTCCTCTTTCCTGCAATGGTGGCATTTGCCTTTGATCTACTGCCAAGGCTTTTGCAAAGGTAAAATGATCATAGTGGAGAAGGGAGTAACATCAGTAGTACTTGAGGATGAGAGTTCATCCTTCAACTTCCTCCGTGGTTTTTATCTGTAATGCATTTACTTCATAGTGAAAAATAAGATGTGAACTGTCTGGGTAGGTACAAAATTCCAAACAATTATAAAAGCTGCTTCACTTTAGAACTCTTCCATTTCCATTACTTCTGTGTATTTATATGCATTTGCAATATTCAGTTTATATGCAAAATGTCTGTTTATGCATTATTATGTTTATTCAATGTACCTCTTTTTAAA